GGTAGGAAGGGTTGGCTTGTTCAGAGTGGGGAGGCTCAGGAGCGCCTCTGAGCTTGTGGTGGCTCCAGCCGCCTCTCCCCGCAGGGTGCGTCCCAGGGTGGACAGAGCTCGGCTGGGGCCGGAGGCGGGGAGGGGCTGCAGGGGAGGCCGCGAGCAGAGAGCTGGGCCCACAGACTGCCTGAGCCTCGCTGCAGGGAGCGTAATGTGTAACGCAGGCCGTGCTGCACGTCAGCGCGGCTCCTCAAGGCGGCTCCAAGGGCTCTGATGGCGGGGCCCGGGGCAGCTGGGTTATAGTCTTTAGAAACCCTTTGTCCGGGACTCTGCCATCTTCACTGAGATAGAAGCCACCTTTCAGTGTCCCACTCAGGGACTCTGAGTGAGTCTGTAGAGTTGTGTCACCGTCGCTCCGTGAATTTTAGATCTCCGAACCCGGGGCGCACGAGCAGTCACCCCCCCCCCCCCGCCCCAGGCAGCGCACATCTACCCCCTGCCCCCCCCCCCCCGCCCCAGGCAGCGCACATCTACCCGCTGCCCCCCCCCCCCGCCCCAGACAGCGCACATCTACCCGCTGCCCCCCCCCCGCCCCAGGCAGCGCACATCTACCCGCTGCCCCCCCCCCCCGCCCCAGACAGCGCACATCTACCCGCTGCCCCCCCCCCCCCCCCCCCCCGCCCCAGACAGCGCACATCTACCCGCTGCCCACCTCCCGCCCCAGGCAGCGCACATCTACCCCCTGCCCCCCCACCCCCCCGCCCCAGGCAGCGCACATCTACCCGCTGCCCCCCCCCCGCCCCAGGCAGCGCACATCTACCCCCTGCCCCCCCACCCCCCCCGCCCCAGGCAGCGCACATCTACCCGCTGCCCCCCCCCCCCCGCCCCAGGCAGCGCACATCTACCCGCTGCCCCCCCTGCCCCAGGCAGCGCACATCTACCCGCTGCCCCCCCCCCCCCGCCCCAGGCAGCGTACATCTACCCCCTGCCCCCCCACCCCCCTGCCCCAGGCAGCGCACATCTACCCGCTGCCACCTCCCCTCCCCCCCTCGCAGAGAGGTGCTTTTCAGGCCTCGCTGAGGAAGCAGCTGGTGTTTTAATAGGATTTGTCCCCCCAGTCAGGCATCTGTGTGCTCACTGAAGTACATTCCAAAGCAAGAGGAAGGAAGGGTGAGGGGAGAAGGGAGAGGATCCCACCTGCGATCTGAGCAGGTCACTGCATTAAACCAGCACCATCAGACAGAAGCAGCTGGCCCCTCTGCCCCCCTCGGTCATGGAGTGTCTGCAGGGACCATCTCCCCAGTGGGATTGTACTGACGCCGCCTTCACAGTGCAGATCACAAGGAATTGTGGTCTTGGCATTGTTTTCATGAAAATAGCTCAAAACTTTACTATTTATTTTCAGGACGCAAATCCGCTGTTGTGGAAGAAAGACATGTCGTTTCTCGTTTATTTTCAGCGTCTCAAAACTTCTCACACTTCAGCTCGCTCTCTTGGAGGACGGGGTTTTGCAGTGTGAGTGCAGGGAAACGGGACCGGCGGCTGAAGGAACGCCAGACACAGCGTTCAGCACAGACGCAGGCCGCTGCAATAGAGGCTGGAGAGGCCGTGCAAACATCATTCACGAGAAAACTCATTTGCTTATAATAATGCCAGAGAAGGTAAACATCAAGACAAAGGGTTTTATTAGAGACAGAGGATGTTTCATAATGATAAAGGGCTCACCTCATTAAGGAGATAATATCTTTCCAAATGTGTGTGCGCCCAATAATCCAGGTGCACAATGCGTGAAGCCAGCATCGACGGGAAGAGAGAGGGAGGGACACATTCCCAATCAGAGGCCGACGTGTAACTGCCTCCCTGAGCGTTGAAACGTGCACGTTTAACGATCGGCAAGAGGTGAAAGATGCGCGCGCGCTGCCAGCCCGGCCCTCACCGGGCGAGAAGGCACCCCAGCGCGGGAGGATGCGTCCGTCACCGGGCAGACTGGGGTGAACACCACAGCACTGCGGGCACCGGGTTCCCCCCAACGACTGTCCATTAGAGGTCGGGCTGACGGCGAGATTCCAGGAAATGCTCCGGTATCTGGACCTTTGTCGACACCCTTCTCTCACGACTCACGTCCAAAGGGTCAGGGAGCGTTGGAGAGCGTTGGAGCTGAGTGATGACGGCGCATACAGCGCGCGTCTGATCACCTGAAACGGGCCTGGAGGGCAGTCTATGAGAAGAGGGTCGGGGCTTCTGATCCAGCAGCAGAGCTGCCACCTCAAGAAGCTAGGAAAAGAGGAAACTCACCAAAACCGGGTAAAAGAAGGGCAGGGAGAGAGGATGGAAACAAACCAGAGAACTGGAAAGTGGAGAAGAAGGCGACTCAGCAGAGCCCACAGTAGTTCCTGGGAAAGATCAAAACAAACTTGTCGGTAGACTTATTTAAAAAACAAAGCAAACGCCCAGTATGAGGAAGAGATGAGGAGACATCACTACAGACCCACAGACATTAAAGCTAATGGGGTTCGGGGGGTATTCCAAGTCTACGCCAAAGGGTTCGAGAAGGCACATGGAATGGACGGACTCCGTGAGAGGCAGGGCCTGGTGCAGGGACCAAGAGGAATCAAAGCTTTACGACGGGTCCTCAAACTACGGCCCGCGGGCCACATGCAAATACAAATATTGTATTTGTTCCCGTTTTGTTTTTTTACTTCAGAATAAGATATGTGCCGTGTGCATAGGAATTCGTTCATAGTTTTTTTTGAACTATAGTCGGCCCTCCAGCGGTCTGAGGGACAGGGAACTGGTCCCCTGTGTAAAAAGTTTGAGGACCCCTGCTTTACGATCTCCTTGTCAATTTAAAGAGTCAGTGGCACGCACACCTTCAGGGGAGAGCGTCAGGTCAGATGGCGTTACTTTACTCGTGAGCTCTGAACGTTTACAGCAGCAGCGACCTAGTCCCCAGAGGCCTTTCAGAAGGGGGGGCAGACGCTTCTCGTCGCCGGTTACTCAGGCAACATGAGCCCTTCCAAACCTCACGGAGAAGTTGTAGGAAACGGAAAGCAGAGACTGATGTCTGAGGAAAAGACACGCAGGCGGTTGTAGTGGTTCTGGCCGTGCCCAGGGAGGTGGGCCCTGGGCTTGGCTGTGCCTCCCTCCCCCCTCCCCCTCCCTCCCCCCTCCTTCCTCCCTCCTTCCCGCCACCTGTGCCCCCAGGGACGTGCCCTGAAGTCGCGCTCGCTCAGCAGGCCAGGGGCTCCCTGCCTCTGTGAGTCTAAGTAAAACCAGTCACTTTCTCCGTGGGCTGGTGTCCGTTTCTCGTTCAGCTTCTGCCTATACCCTCTTCGCTCTATTTCATTGTTTCTGCCGGTGGAGAACGGCTGTCGATTTCTGGTTCTTGGTCTGGCCGTGGTGCTGGGCTCGGAGCCCGGTCCCCTGCCTCCTGGTGTTGCCGGCCTCTCTCCCTTGGCCTCCCCGGAGGCGGGTCTGGTTCCTGGGGGGGCAGCCCCCCTCACCTCCGACCCAGTGCCTCAGAGGGTTCCCAGCAGCGAGGAGGCCTCTCAGGAGCCCAGCAACGTGGTCTCTTCTCTGCCTGCCTCCTCCAGGGGTGCTGGGGGGGTGCCCCCCGAGTTCTGGTGGGAAGGTGGATGGGCAGGGGGCCTGAACTCTGTGAGGTGGCTTTCCCCGGCGGCCCAGGTCAGCACGCAGGGGAGCGATGCTCTCCGGGGTGACCCCACCCGTGGGCCCTTCCTGGAACATCTGCTTCTGTCTTGGTCGCTGGGTCTGTGTGGACCCTTTGTCCGTGTCCACACGTGACTGGGTCTGTGGTACCAAACCCTCTTCCATGCTGGCAGGTCACAGAGTGGACAGACCTGGGAGAGGGTCCCTGAGTTCCGGAGTGCCCCTGGCCGGCTGCTGCCTCCTCTCCCGGCAGGGGCACGCCCGGTGAGCCAGCTGCCTCTGTGGCAGCTCCCTGGGCGCCGGCGCTGTGGTCAGACCCTTCTCTTACCTCTGACCTACGCTCGGGCCCCCAGCTGTGGGCTCGTCCCCGAGGAGACGGCTGCCGGGACCTGGAACCGGAGGTGTCCGGGCTCCTTCCCCAACGGACGGCGTCGGGAAGGCCACCTCCCCCTGGGCCGGCCTGCAGGCTCATGTGGTGTCTGCTTCGGGCCCTCGGTGACGGGGAGGGTTGGGTCTTCCCAGGCGGCTGTGACGTGAGGTTGTTGCTGGAACTGCTGCCCAGTCGCTCTCCATGCACTCTGCTTGGGCTTTAGAACTGGAAACGGTGAGGTGCTGGCGCTGTTTTGGTTGATTCAACTACCGGGGCTGCCTCCTGATCCGTCTTTATTCCGAGTGTGAATCGCCTGCTCCCACCTGTCGGTGCTTCTGGACTTAAAGGGAAGCAATGCCTGCCTCAGGGACAGTGGGCCGAGTGGCGACACACCTGCACGTTGAAATGCGTTTCTGGCCACGCAGGGCATGTGAGTGGGACTCAAGGAGACACGAGGGTCAGGCAGGATCCAGGGGCCCGTCCCCTGCCCCGGGCGGCCGGCCCGCCCTGCGTGACCTCTGCATGTGCGGGTGTTTTTAGGCAGAGTGACAGCCCACTTGGTGCGTGCAGCACCCACACCTTCATGCGTGCCGTGCACAGGCCTCTCCAAGGCACTTTCCTCCAAAACTCGTCCGAGAAAGCGACCGCACAGCGTTCTCCTGCTGAGGGTGCGAGGAGGAGCCACGGCCGCATTGGGCGTGAAGTTGGGGAAAGGCAATGGGGGTGGAGAGCGAGCAGGAGGCAGAGAAGGCAGTGGGAGGGGAGGAGGGAGGCGGGGGCACTGGCACCTCTGGTCCTCGCCTGCCCCAGGGGGAGCGGGGACACGCGTGTCCTCTGAGCGGCCGTGCGCCCGGGTGGTGCTGACTGCTCGGATGCCCATCGTGGAGGTGCATCTGGCGGCACGTGGGGGCGGGGCGGCGCGTGGGCGCTGACTCACTAACCCCGATTCCCTCGTCTCTTCTGCCCACAGAGGAGCTGCGGAGGCTCAGCTGGTCCGGGATCCCGAAGCCGGTGCGTCCCATCACGTGGAAGCTCCTCTCCGTGAGTGCTCATCCCGGGGCCTGCCCGTCGCCACCTTCCCTGTGAGGGCGGCCCCTCGTCTTTCCCCCAGGAGGGCAGCCCCGTGTCCGTCTCCCTCATCTGGCCGGAAGTGTGGCTGGTCACCGGACGCCTGGTCTGTGGCGATGCAGGCCTTGGGCTGAGGGCAGGCCCACCCTTGGCCTCATGAGGAGCCGGGGTGACAGGGCTGCCAGGAAATGTGAAGCCCCGGCCAGGGCGGCTGTGTGTTCTCGCCCTGACCTCCGTGTTGTGAATAATCTCCCTGAGGCGTGCAGACCTGGTGAAAGGCCGCGAGGAGAGGAGGCGGCGGAGGGCCAGGGCGTGTCGGGCGTGCTTTCTGTAGCTCTCAGCCATGGCGCCGGGGCAGGCTGACGGAAACAGCCTCTGCGATGAGGGCGGAGCCCTCGCTCCCCACCGCACAGAGCTCTGGCCCGGGCGCCGTGTGGGCGAGGGGTGGGTCATGGCCCTGCGCCCGCATGGGGCTCCCGGTGGGGCAGCTCCCCCTTCATTGTTCTGGAGCCAAGTCAGCGGGGACTCTGCTCTGAATGGGCCCGACTTTGACAATTTAAAGGACGCTTTCTCGCTAATGAGTCTCAATCAATCTGCAGCTTAGCGCCTCGTAATCCTAAACGCGGTGCAGCCTGAACAGTGACTGCGTATTGATTAAATGCTCTCTTGCTATTCAGTTAGACCTGCTGCAGTTGCTGGTGTTTTGTTTGTTTTAAGCGTTTCTCTCCAGTCTTCCTACCTTTCCCTTTAAGGTGGGTTTCCAGCTCCTCAGAGGGAATTGTGGGAAGTTGGGGTGAAAACGCTGTGAGGCCCCTTCACGGCAGTTTGCGTTGAGGGTGTTCTGCGTCCCTGGGCAGGTGTCGCGCGGGTGACCGTGTCCTGTTCTTTTCCTTCGGTGCCCGACTGCGGGTCATGGTTAGATCCTCTACATGCTGCCCAGGGATTGGCCTGGGCCTCGGGGCAGAGGAGCCGAGCGGAGAGGCCACAGGTGCCCCCGGGTGGGCGGGGACAGGGCGCAGCAGAGATGTGGCAGCCCCGGCCGCCCCCCTGGACCTGGCTCTCCATGCTGGGCACCTGGTCGTGCTGCCTGGGAGCTTGGGAGGTACTGACACCGAGGCGCCCGCAGGGTCCCAGGTGTGCCCAGGGTTGCACTGCTGCTCTAGGACACTGGGCTCCTGGGACAAGGAGAGAGGTGCCTGCTGGGAGTGGGGGTGGCGGGACTGCCTGGGCACATGTGGTCTCGGGGGCTCAGTGGAGGGCTGGGGGGTGCTCTGTCCTGTCTACTCTGCCTCCAGGACCCAGGGCTCAGCCCTGAACCAGGATGGAGACGTTACCATTTATCCAGGTCAGTAGGACGAACAGCCAGTGTCCTTGAACACGGACCTGTGTCAAGGCCCGTGAACAGGACTGCTTCCTGTGTGTCCACGACCCGTCAGAGACGTGGTCCGGTGGCTGTGGGCATGCTGTCCTCAGGGGCAGTGGCCCTGGGCCTTAGTGAGGGACACGAGAGGCGCTCCTGCTGCTGGGAGCGGGCTGCACTCAGCCCGGAGCCCCTTTGCGCCCCGCTGAGGCTCACACTGGCGCAGGCGGCGGCTGTGCAAAGCGCGCTGTGGGACGCACAGGCTGTGCCTTTTTTAAATGACGCTTCAGAGACCTCGAGCACAGCTGGTGAAACGGTCCCGCCTGCGCTGGTGGTAGAATGGTTAGAGGCGGTGACATGGGTCCTGCGTCCCCGCCTCTGGGGGTTCGCACGTGGCTGCAGGGGGCGCCGGTCGTGTCGCCGGGACCACTTGGACCCGTGTCCCTGCGTGTGTGGGTTGACATTGGTGATTGGTGTTTTCACAGCCTGCTAATGCAGCAGTTACGTTCCCTGTCATTCTGTCGTTTAGATTCAGCCCATGCGTGCATGTACCTCATCTGCATAATTCCTAGTTTTGCTTAATTATCTAAAGGCCTCAACGTGCATGTGTGTTTTCCTTCAGGAACGGGAGCGGCAGGAGGATGTGGGGTTCTGATTGCCAGTGCGGCATCCGTGCCTTTGAGAACTTCAGTTTCAATAAGTGGAGTTATAATTTGGGGGACAGGGAGGAGCCCCGCATGCTCGCCCTGCTCACGCAGAGCCCTGGGCGTCCCTGCCTGTGGGCAGTGTTCGGCTGGTCCCCACCGGGCCTCCCCTGGTGGCCCCACAGCCCTGGTGGGAGGCCCTTGGGACTCGCGCCTTCCCAGGGAGATGCGTGGTCGGCGTGGACCACACTCACCTTCGTCTGCCTCCGCAGGGCTACCTTCCTGCCAACGCAGAGCGCAGAGCCGCCACGCTGCAGAGGAAGCGGGAGGAGTACTTCGCCTTTGTGGAGCACTACTACGACTCGCGGAACGACGAGGGCCACCAGGACACCTACAGGCAGGTGGGCCTGTCCTCCCGTCCCTCGCAGGCTCCGCCTGGCGGGGCTGCAGGCGGCAGTGTTTCCCTCTGTGTCCCGCTGGCCGCCGCGCTGTGTCCTAGGAAACGGTGCGCGTGGAAACAGATGACCGCTCTGTGGTTCCCGGTGGGGCAGGGGGCGCTGCTGGCCGGCTCGGAGACCTTGAGTTCTCACCGGCTCCGAGATGCCAGAGTTCCAGTGGCTGTGCCGCAGCCCAGCACCATGGCGCTCTTAGCGGGTCTCACGGCCGGGCGTCTCCCTGTCCAGCCTGTCCTCGTGGAGCCCCGCCTCCAGGTGAAGGAAGGAGCCTTGCCAATTCCGCCGTGGGCTGGCCGCACCTGCCGTCACTGCCGTCAGCGTGGTCTGGGTGTGTTGCATCAGGCCCAGCTCGCCTCTGCTGGCGCCCGAGCTCCTGTCAGTTACGTGGACTCGTGGACGTGTCTTCCCCGTGGGCGGGCGCAGGGAGGCTCCGGGAAGATCCACTCCCTCAGGGAGGAGGAGAGGGAAGAGGAGAGGGAGGAGGAGGAGGACTCAGGGCAGGAACGCCTCCTCCGCCCTCTAGGCGCCCTCTGCCCTGGCCCAGCTGCTCCCGGAGCCTGTCCTGGCACTCGGGCACACGGGCGGCTCCCAGGCTTGGCACTGCACCCGCCACTCAGGAAGCCAGTTTGAGACAGAAGGCGCTTGCTCAGGGGGCGGACAGCCCGCCTGCTTTATCCACCCCCCCCCCCCCCCCCCCCCGCTAGTCTGAGAGAATAGTTGGCGTCGATAGTGTTTTGAACATGTTTTGATGCATTTTTATTTAAGAAGAAGACTTCGGCGGTGACGCTGGCATCTCTCCGGGAGGTGCACCAGCTCCTTCTGTTGGGAGTCCGGGGGAGGTGGCTGGGACCGCGGTGAGGGCGGTCTTCAGTTGCCATGAGGGTAACAGCTCCGCCTGGTGTGCCCAGGCCCAGGCTGGCCGGCGGGAGGCGGTCCCAGGTCACCTGTAAGCACGGGGCGTGGACCCGAGTTCACCGTGCAGGTGTCCCCGTGGCCGGCTGGGCTGTGTCCCTGGTGGTGGGTGGTGACAGCTGGGCCCGTGGGGGATGTTCGTGGGTGTTGGGTGCTGGAGCCCGCATGCCGCCAGCTCACGCCCTGATGCTGTTTTGGTTGCTTCCTGAGCCGTGCGTGTCCCTCTGAGAGTGGACTTTCCCGTGACTCTCCTGTGGCCTGGGTCCGAGAAGCACTGGCGCGGCTGTGCTGCGGCTGACGCACGCACGTGCGCGTCCCTGTCCGGAGCTGACGCTCGCTGATGGCTGTGGACCGTGTGTCCAGTGGCCGAGGCCTGCGCTGTCCTCGCACGTGGCAGCCACTGCTCGGGCGGGCAGGTCAGCCGCCCGTCATGCCAGGACTCGGGAGCCCATCCGAGCCGCGCTCGGCGAGGCCAGCGTCTCCGAGCAGACAGCGGGGGCAGCGCGCTAGCGTCCGCTTCCGGCTACACCCGGCTGGTTGCCATCCTGTCTCTTCTCCTCCATCTCCAGATCCACATCGACATCCCGCGGATGAGTCCCGAGGCGCTGACGCTGCAGCCCGCAGTGACGGAGGTAAGCGCGGCCCCGGGCCCCCTTCGCTCAGGGGCCCCCTTTGCTGGGCTCGGCGCCCACTCTCCCGCGTGGGCAGGGCAGGCGCTGTACCCCAGGCCGTGCGCACGGCGTCGCTGAAGGGGCCGCTCACTGCTCTGAAAGGAGCCTGGTGGTGTGGCATGTGCTGCGGGGGGCACCCCCATCCCGGACCCACCTGGGCGGACCGAGCCCCGCTCCACGTGACGCCCGTGCTGCGCTGCCTCTGCTCTCAGTCTCACGTGGAGCCCCGCCCACTTCATGCTGGTGATTCCTCACGAGGCGCGTGCATGTCATGTGCTAGCGACACTGCCAGGCGGTGATGTGGGCTGGACTCTGCGTCGGCTCGTCTGCCTCGCTGTGTCGTCGCCCTCGTCGCTGGCCCATGCTTCTGTGGCCTTGACCTGTGGCTGGACAGTGGGCGTTTCCCACGTATTGTGTGGGACCTTCGTGTGCACGTATGAGGCCCACAGGCCAGACTCCTCCCGGGCGCCGACGCGAAGGGAGGCTGCTGCCTTGGCGGGTGTGAACATGCTAATGCCCTGTTGGGAGGCCGCTTTTAATGCCTTTCAATGAGGTTTTAAAATTTTCCTCATAACAGGTCTGTATGTGTTATTAGGCTTATTCCTAGCTGCTGCCATGTTCTGTTGCTATTATAAATGGCGTCTCTCTAAAATGCGGCTTTCCTTGTCTGAGGTACTTGCTAAGTGTCGCCTGTTCCCGTAGCTGCACTTCAGACTGAGGCATCTGGAACAATAACGTGTTCAAGAACCAGAGTTATTATTCCTGTAATTTTAAAAATATGTGTCTATTGATTTCAGAGAGGAAAGGAGAGGGAGAGAGAGAGGCATCAATGAGGAGAGAGAGTCATCATCGCTCAGCTACCTCCTGCGCACCCTGGACTGGGGATGAAGCCTGCACCCCAGGCCTGTGCCCTGGCCTCCTGGTTCATAGGTCGCCGTTCACGCACTGAGCCCCGGCCGGGCTCGCGTCCAGCCTTGTTAAGGCACAAGGACGTGCGGTCGCAGAGCACAGCGGATCGGCTGTGTCTACGGAAGAGCCGTGCTGGGAGCAGCGCTGTGCTTGTCTCCTCAGTGGCTGTGCTTGTTGTGTCTGCACCACAAGCGATGGCCTCTCTTTTGCTGGCTGTTTAACGGGAAGTGGAGTCTGCCTCGGTACTTGGGTTTGTTTTATGGTTTCCTACCGCTTGGCGCACCTGAGAGGCCAGCTTTCGGGTTGGAGAGGAGAGCCCGTCACCACCGTCGGTGTCTGTCCTTCTGCTTGTCTGGGACGTCGGAGACCTCGATCCCATTGGCTCGAGGCGCCGTGCCCTGGCGGTGGTCCCGCCCCTTCATGTCTGTGGGGCTCCTGTGGCTGCTCCCGGAGCTGCAGGCCTGTCCAGGCCCCTGCAGGGCTGTCCAACCCCAGGGAGGCGGGGCCCTGCAGCTCCCCAAGCGGGGACGGGGCCTCGGGCACAGCTCTGTGGGGGGTGATGTTGTGAGGAGGGGCTGGATGTCCTGGGAACCTAGGTCTTGTGTTAGTCGATAGGCAGAACCCAGGTGTGGTCTCTGCAAGCGGAGGCTGGGCCTGGACATGGGCGCCTGCGGCAGGCCCACGAGGGGCTTCACAGGCTCCGTTAGCATCGCTCCTCTGTGCTTGGCTTCCCCGCGTGTCCACGTTGGCTGCTCTGGCGCCCTGCAGCATCTGCGTTCCACCAGCAGCACTGACAAGGCGTTGGAGAGGGCGTGCCCTCCCTTTAGAGTGTCTCTTACAGAGTGGCTCTTGCACTGCTCCTATCCCTCTGGCTGGACTGCCCCCCTGTGGTCGCTCTGTCTGGTACAGACCAGGCATCCGTGGCTGTGATTGCTAGGGGCCATGTGCCCTGTCAAGGCTGGGTCGCTGGTAGGCCGGGTACTGCTGCCCTCCGGCCCAGGCCGGGCAGCCGTGTGCGGATAGCACCCGAGGGCCTGGAGGAGCCGAGAGCAGCATCCTCGGTGCCCGCTGCGCGTGCGGTGGACGCCGGGCTGGGGGAGCACTGCATGTTGCCTGTGAGTCAATGAAAGTAAGGTGGTTGGAGTTGTAGGAAGAGGTGGACACCAGTTGGCGTTTGTTGATACTTTAACAGCAGTGACAGCGGGAAGCGGGCAGTTTGTATTTAAGTGAAAGACTGCGTCCTAATGCCTCTGATGGCTCACTGTTCGCTTCACCACGTGCTCCACTCTCTTCCAGATTTTCGAGAGGATCCTGTTCATATGGGCTATTCGTCACCCTGCCAGCGGCTACGTCCAGGGCATCAATGACCTGGTCACCCCTTTCTTCGTGGTCTTCATCTGCGAGCACACGGGTAAGAGCACGTCCTGGCGCGCTTCCTCACAGGCGGTAACCATGAACTTGTGGGCCTTTCTGTGGGTGATGGCACCATGTGGAGAATTGCCACCAAGTGTAGCGTCAGGAAGGTGAGCTAACAACAGGAAGTGTGGTCTTCTCGCCGTAACAGCCCTGGTCCAGGTGCCTCGCCACTGAGGCCAGGGTGCAGCTGCCACTGTCGGTGCCTTGTTTCTGGTGATATGCGAGCGGGAGCGTAGTCCACGCCGAGGGTCTCGCTCTCCGTCAGCACCAGCCCCGTGTGCGCCTGCGTGCTGTGGGAGGTGGGGTATTAGTGGTGTGACTGTGTGCTGTGGGCCGTGGGGTATTAGTGGTGTGACTGTGCTGTGGGAGGTGGGGTATTGATGGTGTGACTGTGCTGTGGGAGGTGGGGTATTAGTGGTGTGACTGCGTGCTGTGGGAGGTGGGGTATTAGTGGTATGACTGCGTGCTGTGGGCGGTGGGGGTATTAGTGGTGTGACTGCGTGCTGTGGGAGGTGGGGTCTTAGTGGTGTGACTGCGTGCTGTGGGAGGTGGGGTCTTAGTGGTGTGACTGCGTGCTGTGGGAGGTGGGGTATTAGTGGTGTGAGTGCGTGCTGTGGGAGGTGGGGTCTTAGTGGTGTGACTGCGTGCTGTGGGAGGTGGGGTATTAGTGGTGTGACTGCGTGCTGTGGGAGGTGGGGTATTAGTGGTGTGAGTGCGTGCTGTGGGAGGTGGGGTCTTAGTGGTGTGAGTGCGTGCTGTGGGAGGTGGGGTCTTAGTGGTGTGACTGTGTGCTGTGGTAGGTGGGGTATTAGTGGTGTGACTGCGTGCTGTGGGAGGTGGGGTATTAGTGGTGTGACTGCGTGCTGTGGGAGGTGGGGTATTAGTGGTGTGACTGCGTGCTGTGGGAGGTGGGGTATTAGTGGTGTGACTGTGCTGTGGGAGGTGGGGTATTAGTGGTGTGACTGCGTGCTGTGGGAGGTGGGGTCTTAGTGGTGTGACTGCGTGCTGTGGGAGGTGGGGTCTTAGTGGTGTGACTGCGTGCTGTGGGAGGTGGGGTATTAGTGGTGTGAGTGCGTGCTGTGGGAGGTGGGGTCTTAGTGGTGTGAGTGCGTGCTGTGGGAGGTGGGGTCTTAGTGGTGTGACTGTGTGCTGTGGGAGGTGGGGTATTAGTGGTGTGAGTGCGTGCGGTGGGAGGTGGGGTATTAGTGGTGTGACTGTGTGCTGTGGTAGGTGGGGGTATTAGTGGTGTGACTGCGTGCTGTGGGAGGTGGGGTATTAGTGGTGTGACTGCGTGCTGTGGGAGGTGGGGTATTAGTGGTGTGACTGTGCTGTGGGAGGTGGGGCGTGTTAGGGGGATGCTTTGCTTACAAGGTAAAGACGGGTCGTCTCTGATGGCATTTCTGCACATTTCACCACCTCTCTGCCTGACGCACCAGCGTGTCATTTTCGGGAAGCTGTGTTAATTACGTGCACGATGACCGGTTTGATGGAAGTTCGGGTGGGCCGTGTGGCTGCTCTTGAACCCGCGTGCGTCTCCTTCCCTCTGTGTCCTCAGAAAAAGCTCCAATGCTCTGCGTGAGGGCTGTGCTCTCCCCCCGCCGCGGCAGAGGGGACAGCAGGCAGGCCCTGCTCCCGGGCTGCAGCCTTTTTGTGGCCGCGGCTGTAACCGTCTCCGTGTGGCCCTCCGTCCTGGGATTCGCGTGTCCGTGCATGTCTCCGCCGATTACCTGTCCGGTGGGTCCCGTCCCTGCAGCGGAGACCCGGCTTCCTAGAGGACGGCTGTCCGAGGAGGACGGGGCTCCGTTAGGGCACCTCATTGAGCCCCTCGCACCTCGTTCCCCTGCTGATGTCGGAGGAGGGCTTCTCGTTGCTCAGCAGCTAATGAGCGGCGGGCTCCCTCCCTCGTCTCCCGCGTCGGGAGAGGCCGCAGGAGGCCGGGCCTGCCCTCCACTCCGCCGCTCACGGCCGCTCTTAATGCCCGAGCAGGAGGCCCCTGTCAGCAGACGTCAAGGCTGCTAATTGAGAAAGATCAGCCGAGATGTGATTGGAGAATTGATGTTCCATGTTAACTAGACCATTTAATTAACGTGGTAAATAAGTTCGTCCTAACTGCTTGGCCCCTATCGTGCGCGAGGCCCCGGTGGCCCTGAGCGCGTTTGCTGGCTCAGCCGCGGGACGGGGCGGAGGGACGTGGACGTGGTGCTGATGATGCAGCACGTGCTGCAGAGGAGAACAGCTGGAGAGGGAGAGCGTGAGAGCTCCTGCCGCCGGACGGGCTGGCGATGAGGCCGCTGTGGGGATGGTTGCCCGGGAGCCGCTGGGAGTCCGGGCTGGTGGGCTCGTCCGGGAGTGCAGGGCAGGGTCCATCCTGACCCCAGTGTCGGGGCCGCCAGGCTGGGTTGAGTTTGGCTCCAGGGCCTGACGTGGCTGCCCGCCTCCAGGCGAGGCTCTCTCTGCGGAGGTGTCGGGGCCTCGGTGGTCAGGCCGCTGGCACTGCTGAGCCCCGCGCTGGGATGCGGCTCCTCAGCTGCCAGGTCCGGCCACTCTGCCCAGCTGCGGGGGCCGCGGGGCAGGGACCGGAGGCAGAGCCCGCCTCCGTGGCTGCTGTTCGGCCTGAGTGAGTGAGAGCACGAGGAGCGCAGAGCCTGTGCCGGGTGTGCGGAGTGAGCAGGAGGTGCCGCTGTGGTCACTGACGTGTCCCTGGCGTCTCCGCCGTGGCGATCCTGCAGAAAATGCAGCTCGTGCCACCTTCGGTGTGGAGGGCACAGGGCATGTTGGCTGGGAGCGCTGTTCTCGTGTCTTCCCGACCCGTCCTCATGGGCTCCTGCCCGCAGCGGGTCTGCGATCACCTCCTGGGGCAGAGGCCGGGGAGGGCCGTGTGTGACGGGGGAGGCGGGTGCGCTCTGGAGGCAAGACGGGGGTGTCTCAGGAGTCCAGTGTGCGGACGGTTTCAAGGGAGGAGTGGTAGGCAGCGTGCGGTGCCACAGGCGTGCGGCTAGAACTTACCCAAGCGCCTGCCGTTGTGAGCTGCCAGACGTGGGCAGAGGGTGGTGGCAGGTCCAGGGGGGCATGCGTGAGCCCCTCCTGGGGCAGCCGTGGGGACACGGGACGGTGGGTGGAGTGGCCGCAGGCCTCATACCGAAGGTCTGTGTGTGCCTGACGGACAGCGGTGCCTTAGTTTTCCTCATGCAGCATCGAGGCTGGAGACTGTGATGTTGTGACATGACCTCCACACAAGTCTAGCTCCCGTCTGTCACCAGAGAGGAACGCTTTTTCTCGTGATGGGACTCTCCAGGCTCCTCTCAGCAACTCTCAGAGATGCACCGGCGTCCTTACCCCAGTCCCCGAGCTCACATCGCCCGCGACGCACGCGGTGGGCACCTGTGTCTGTCCCTGGGACTCCCTCCCCCACCCCCCAGCTCCCTTTGAAGAGCTCTGGGTTCTGGACAGTTTCTCTTTCTGTTCTGGGAGTTACCGGGTGGCGGGAGCCCGTGCCCTTCACCCGGCAGCAAGGTTGTCGTGGTCTGCCCTTCGGTTTCCTCTGCGCCCCCCGCGCCAGAGCCTGCAGCTGCGGGAACTTCCTAGAGCAGCTTTAGGGAGATGGGCTCACGTGCAGGCAGCTCACCGTGGAGTGAAGAACTCCGTGGGTTCACAGTAGCACAGCCATCACCACCTATTAGCGACAGAGTATTTCCATCGCCCTGAAAGGAATTGCAAACCCAGGAGCCGTCACTCCCGGCCCCGTCCGCCCCGGCAGCCGCCGTCTCCTTTCTGCCCGCAGCTCACGTGAGTGACGCCTGCACTGTGGGGCCGGGCTGGCTCCTCTCACGGAGCGTGTCTTCGCCCGTCCGCGTCATAGCATGTACCCATCCATGTCGGAGCGTGCCAGTGCCTCAGCCCCTTTACGACCAGCTAGCACTTCGTTGTATGCACAGACACGTTCCCTCTACCCGTTCATGCGTGGAAGGAGCCGGCTCTCGGGCTCTGCGGTTGCTGGGAATGACGCTGCTGAGGACCTTGGGCACAGGCTTCCTGAGGACATGGTGTCCTTTCTCCCGGTCACGCACCCGCAGTGGGATTGCGGGGACACACGGCAACTCCTCGTGTCACAGTTTGGGGGACCGCAGACTGCTGTCAGCGTGGCCGCCCCATGGACATCCCCAGCCAAGTGGGGGGGCTCCAGTCTGTGCACCTCCTCCCCACCCTTGCTGCTGCTTTCACTTTAAAATGAGGTGCAGTACACGCGTCCCTCACAGCTTTTGAGACCACGACTGGGGTTTGCCTCGTCACTGTGGGGTGTTCCTCTCCCCGCCTCGCCCCCAGGCAGTGTCGGCCCCTTGCACGGGGTGTGTGTCCGTGTGCGTCGCTGTGCGCCGAGGGAGGCCAGGCGGATCCCTGGGGAGGGCGCTGGTGTGACGCACAGGCCGGCCACACAGCTCTCAGCACTCTCCATGGGCTGCTTGCTGAGCACAGGCGGGGCGGGGGGTGGCAAGGGAGGGGTGGACGGCCTTGTGGAGGAGGGGCAAGCCCCCCACAGACCGCCCACCTTGAGGGCAGCACTGCTCATCTCTTCTCTTTGCGGCCATCATTGCACTGAGCACCTCTCCGTGTAGCATGTGGGGCCGGGCGGGGCTGCGTGCTCCCATCCCGCACCCGCTTCCCCCGCAGGAGTCACTAGTGGGCTTGGTGGGCGTCTGGCCTCCACCAGCTCCATTGGGTCCTCCGTTCCTGTGTCTCCGTGTGTGAGCCCTCCTCCGTGTATCCGCCCGAGCTCGGCCTCTGAGCGCAGAGCCTTCTCGGGGCCGCAGGGTGGAAGTCGGATCGGCTGGTTTCCGCCCCTGCAGGCTCAGCTGGGCACGTGGTCCCAGCGTCCAGACCTGCGCCGGGAGGAAGGGGGACGCACCGCCCGCCTGGAGCCTGCGCTGTGTTTCCCGACCCGCCCTCTGCTCTGGGCCGTGCGCCTGGGCCTGTGCGCGGCCCCATCGGGCCCCGGTG